GGAGAAGTGGTGCAATTAAACCAATATTATTTTAATTTTGAATTTTAATTTTATTTTATTATGGACATTAAATTATGAAAAAGTCCTCGGTTAAAAGTGAAAGAGGAGAAAAAATTGACCTAAATATAATTTTGACTTAGTTGCAACACGTCTCCAAGTTCAACCTTATTTTGTCCCGAACGGACTATAATTATTTATTTATTTATTTATTTATTTATTAAAAAATTAGCTTTTTATTTGATTAATTTTTATTTTTCCTTTTCAAATTTATTTTTGTAATTTATTAATATAACTAATTATTATTATTATTATTTATTAATTAATTCCATTCTTATTATTTCATAATTAAAAAATATATCCTTTTAACTAGCTAATAAATTATATTTTCTATACTTAAAAAGTAACAATATTATTGGTTATCAAGGTGTTTCAGGCTTTGACTTTAATTTAGCAAAGTGCAATAATCTCTCCAACTTGAAAATTTATCTGATGTAAAAACAGTTTATTTATTTACTGAGATATTTTTTAATATAAAAATGAGCTAAAAAGAATATAACTAGCTCTTATAATTTATTTTTTTACTTACTAGCTTTTTATTTGATTTATTTTTAATATTTAACTAATTTATTTTTTATTTCAATGATTGCTTTTATAATTAATTTGTTAATTCCTTTCTTATTATTTCTTATTTTTTATTTTCATCTTACAAACTAATAAACGATATTTTAATATTTAAAAAGCGGCAATAAAATTGGTGATAAAGGTTTATGTGAGTTAGGCTCTAATTTACTTAAATTCACTACAATCACAAATTTGACACTTGATCTAGCGTAAAAACAGTTTATTTGCTTTGGATTGCGATATTTTTGAATATAAATGAATTTAAAACAAATAACCAACTAACTTTTTCAATTTATTTATTTATTAATTAGCTTTTTATTTGATTTATATTTCTTTTTATTTTAATATTTATTTTTATTTCTTTGTTAATTGAAATAATTTTTCATTTTACTTTTAATAATATTATTAATTAATTCCTTTTTTATTATTACATTATTTTTTTTATTTTAGCTTATTAATTATTATATATTTTAATATTTAAAAAGATTAAATTCAATTAGTGATTAAGGTTTTTCAGGCTTATACTCTGGCTTAGTATATTGCACTACTCTCTCAAAATTGGATCTTGATCTTTAGTAAAATTAATTTATATGTTATGGGTTGAGATATTTTTTAATAAAAATTAATTTAAAACAAATTAACTTACACTTTTTCATTTATTTATTAACTTTTTGTTTGATTAATTTTTTTTTTCTATTTAAACTTATTTTTTTATTTCTAAATTTAACTTTTTTATTTTTTAATTTTCAACTTTTTCTTTTATTATTAATTCATTTCATGTTATTAAATATTTTTTCATACTTCTAATTAATTATATATTTTTTTTAATATTTAACAAGGTCTAATTATATTGAATTTTGTGTTTGCTCCATAATGAACATTAATTTCTAAAATTTGACACTTAATCTAAGGTAAAAAAGTTTATTTGCTCATTGTGATAAATAAAAATAAATTTAATACAATTTAATTCCTTTAATTTATTTATTAGCTTTTTATTGATTTTTTTGTTTGTTTGTTTGTTAATTTAACTAATTTTTTAATTTTCAACTTTTTCTTTTATTAATCTTATTATTTCATTTTTTCTTTCTCACTAACTAACTATTTTCAATATTTAAAAAGTGAAAATTCAATTCATAGTAAGGGAGCTTTTTAATTAGGTTCTGGTTTAGCAAAGTGTTATAATCTCTCAAGTTTGACACTGCATCTTAGGTAAAAATAGTTTATTTGCTTTACTTTAGAAAATGAATTTAAACAATATAAAAAACTCTTTATTTTTATTTATATATTTATTAGACCATTACTTGATTTATTTTTCTAAAAATGTTTTATATTTATTTATTTTTCTTTGTTAATTAAGCAAATTTTTTCATTTTGACTATTAATTTTCTTATTAATTAATTTATTTTAAATTATTTCATGATTTTTCTTTATTTTTACCTTCTAACTAAATAAATAAATTATATATATTTTTAAAATTTAAAAAGTGGCAATTAAATTTAAAATGAAGGTGCACAAGTTTTAGGTTCTACTTTAGCATAGTGCAATATTCTTACTAATTTGACACTTTATCTTGAGTAAAAACTGTTATTTGTTTTGGATTGTGATATTTTTTAATATAAAACTGATTTTAAAACAATAAACTCCTTTAATTTTTTTATTTATTAGCTTTTTATTAGATTTATTTTTCTTTTTTTATATTCATTTTTATTTCTTTGCTTATTTATTTATTAATTAATAAATTATTTCATTTTTAACTTTGGTTTTTATTATTAATTTATTTCTTATTTATTTCATTTTTTTCTTCAAACTAAATTATAAATTATATTTTCAATATTTAAAAAGTGGCATTTAAATTTCCTCTGTAGGTGTATAGTCCTTAGGTTCTAGTTTAAGAAAGTTCTCTAACCTCACATATTTGAAACTTAGTCTTTCGTAAAAATAGTTTATTTATTTTGGATTGTGATATTTTTGAATTTTTACTTCTTTGCTAATTTAACTAATTTTTGATTTTCAAATTTTGTTTAATTATTAATTCCTTTGTTATTATTACTTGTCTTTCTTTCTAGTTTATTAATTAATTTTTATTGTTTATTTAATATTTAAAAAGTTAAAATTAAATTTGTGATGAGGGTTCATAAAGCTTAGGCTCTGATTTAGTAACACGCCAAGATCTCTAGAAATTAACACTCTATCTAGCGTAAAAAGAGTTTAATTGTTTTGGATTGTGGTATTTTTTAATATAAAACTGAATTTAAAACAATAAAACTCCTTTTAATTTATTTACTTTTTAGCTTTTTATTTGATTTATTTTTCTTTTCTTTTTTTTATATTTATTTTAATATCTTTGCAAATCTAACTAATTTGTTCATTTTCAAATTTTGCTTTTAAATATTTGTTACTAATTGATTCATTTATTATTTTTTTATGTTTTTTCTTGATTTTAACCAATTAAATATATCTTTTTTCTTCAATATTTTATTAGAGGAAATAATATTGGACATAAAGGTGCATCAGACTTAAGTTCTGCTATAGCATAATGCACTAATCTCTCAAATTTAGGACTTCATCTAAAGTAAAAACAGTTTATTTTTTTAGTTAATTTCTTATTATTTCATGTTCTTTCTTCTAACTAAGTTATAAATTATATTTTAAATATAAAAAAAGGAAGAATTAAATTGGTGATGTAGGTGTATCATGTTTAGGTTCTACTTTAGAAAAGTGCACTAATCTCACAAATTTGGAACTTGGTTTTTCGTAAAAATAGTTTATTTATTTATTTTGGATCGATCATGATATTTTTTAATATAAAAATGTATTTATTTAAAGCAATTTAACTAATTATTTATTTATTTTTTAGCTTTTTATTTGGTTAAATTTTCTTTTTTTATATAATTATTTTTATTTTTTGTTAATTTTCTAACTAATTACAAATTAATTATGTTTTTTTCTTCAATATTTTACAAGTAACAATTTCATTAGTAATGAAAGTGGATCAGTCTTAGGTTTTTCTTTAGGAAAGTGCACTAATCTTTAATATTTGAGACTTGATCTTCAGTAAAAATAGTTTATTTGTTTTGGATTCTGATATTTTATAATATATAAATGACTTTAAAATAATTAAACTCCTTTATTTTTCTTTTTAATTAGCTTCTTATTTGATTTATTTTTCTATTTTTATTTTTTTATTGTGTTTTTTTTATTTGTTTGTTAGTTTAACTAATTTTTTGATTTTCAACTTTTGCTTATTTTTTAAAAAATTAATTAATTTCTTATTATTATTTCATATTTTTTTATCATTTTTTCCTTCGAAACTAACTAATAAATTATGTTTTTAATATTTTAAAAAGAGATAATTAAATTAATGATGTAGGTATATCAGACTTATGTTTTGGTTTACGAAAGTGTCCTAATCTCTCAAATTTGTCACTTTTTTTAAGGTAAAAAACAATTTATTTGTTTTGGATTGTAGTAGTATTTAATACAAAAATGAAATTGTTAGCTTTTAATTTGATTTATTTTTCATTTTCTTTTAAATTTTGCAAATGTTTATTTCTTTTATTAATTGATTTAAAATGTAATATCTTATTTGAAAATTATATTATATGTAATTAATTTTAGTAATTTCCACTAATATATATTAAAAGTGTTAAAGAGATCAATAAATCATAATAATTTAAAGTAAATAGAAAGTATCTTAAATTAAAAAGATTAGTTGTCTTTAGAATAGTTTTCTTTTCATGAACAAGCGGCAAAAAAAGATTAATACATTAAAAATATTTGAATAATAGAATATAATATTTATATTTTGTAATGGGATAATTTAACTTAAAATATTGATAAATAGATTTATTATTTATTATTTTTATATTTATAAATATAAAACTTTGCTAAGTTAATAAAGTAAAATTTAAAAATTTTATTTAATTAAATAAATAAAGTAATTGCTTTAATAAAGTCCTCAATTTTTATCTAAAATAATCAATCTTTTAATAATTGCATGTCTGTCTTATTTATTATGCCTTATTACATTACTTATGTGCTAAACTTTTATATAATACATATAAATTAGGTGTTTAAATATTATAAATTAATACTTTTTTAAATATAAGTAAAGATTAAATAAAAATTATAATACATAAAAAAATTTAAAACATATTAGTTCAATAGATATTTTTAAGGATATTCATAATATTTTTAATTTATTATTAACAATAAATTAAAATAGAATAAAATTATGCATTTTACTTAAATAATAACAGAAAATAATATTTAAATTGAAAAATTTTTTTATGAAATATAAGTAAGGTAGGTTTTATGTTTAAGGAAAATTTCTTAATTTTTAAATTTAGATAATAAGAAAAGTAAATTGGAGTTTTTCATAATTATCATATATTTAATATATAGTAAAGAGCTAATTGATCTACATCAATTTTTTCCTACCTAATTCTATCCAAAGTTTCTTTGAGAAAATCTATTTTATCTAATTTTCAAGTTTTAAATAAATAAATAAATATGAAATTATTTTTTCCAATTTTGAAAAATAAATAAAAAGTATTATTTAAAGTAGATAGATAATAATTAAAAATTAAATAACCCCTTTTTTATAGTAAAATGGATGGGAAATCTCCTGCATTTTAAAGTAATGTTATATATTATAAAATAGTTAATTATTAATAGCATTTAATATATAATATTTTAAGCTTTTTTACATGTAAATAAATAATTGAAAAGAAAAAAAGTCATTATTTAGTTATTGAAAAATTTTTTATGATACATTAAGAAATATTTTCATAAAAAATAAATAAATAATTGAAAAGAAAAAAAAACAATAGTTATTGACAAATTTTTTATGATACATTAAGAAATATTTACATAAAAAAAAAATAAATAAATAAAAGGAATTCAAAAAAGATTATTTACATATTTTAAAAATTAATTTTTTGTGTGTGTTTAACTAAGAAATAATTACACATATAAAAATTACTATTAAAATCAAATAAAAGATTAAGAATTAGTCAATAAGAAACACATTTCACATAAATTTTAAAGGAAAATATGTATTATTTGTTATTTAATAATCACAAGTAATAATGAAATTTTTTATTTTAAAATAACAAAGAAGTAATAATTTTAAAAAGTAAAATAAGGTAATTATTTTATTTTTAAAAAAATAGAAAATGGCTTAAATATTAATTAAAGGACACTTTTTTTCAAATTACTTGATCTTTTAAGAGGAATTAATTTTTTAACTAAATTTAATTTTTTACAAATAATTTATTTACTTACAAAAATATGAATGATATTCATAATATAAAAATTAAAATAAAATCTATCTATCTAATTTTATTTTAGGTTAAAAAACTTTTTCAAAATATTAAATAATAAAATATATAATATTATTCAAACATTTTATATTTATTCATTTTTTTTCACCAGTAGTTTATCAAGAATCTTATCTTAAAGATAACTAATCTTTTTGATTTAAGACACATGCTTCTTACTTTGAAGTTTTATGATTAATTAATATATCTAAAATTTTTAAAATAAATTTATGTAAATTTTAAATAAATATCAAATAGAATAAACTTTTAAATTAAAATTATTACTTAAATTAATAAATAAAATAATATTGGTGGAATAAAAAAATAAATCAAAAAAAACCTATCAAATAAATTCAAAGAGCTTTTTTTTTTATATTCATTTTTAAAGTTTAAAATATGAAAAAATGAAGAAAAATATGAAAAAATAAGATTAATTAGTAATAATAGCAAAAGTTGAAAAATAATGATGAGTTAAATTAACAAAAAAAAAGCAAGCACAATAAAAAGAAAAAAGAAAAAAGAAAAAAGAGCTTTATTGTTTTTAATTAGTTTTTATAATTAAAAATATCACAATCCAAAACAAATAAACTGTTTTTACTGAAGGCTAAGTGTCAAATTGAGAGA